AAGCTGATGGCTGTGTGGCACATACCTATCACTAATATCTTTGAAAAGCTCCTTTTGCAGACTAAATTCATGCTTCGAGTACAATAATAATGTGTTACCTTAACAGATGTTACTAAATGTCATTATATACAAGAAATACACTAATTATCTGGATATTATGGATCCATACAAGTTTGAATAACTGACATATAAAAACTAAATTTTGTGACATTTAAATTAGAGAATGATGAAACATAAATTGCCAAAGTGACAAAATTAGTCTCTATTCATCTAGAATGAGACAATATTAGTCTCTACAGAGCTGCTTTTCTGCCAAATTCATTTTTGTAAACTGACACGGACGGAACCGTGCAGCTTTTCTAACGTGAAACCTGACAAATTCAGCCCTATTTCTTCCTTCTGTTTACCTAATCCCTTGTTCATAGACTCCCTGAGCTCTGAAAAAGTGTAGATTGATTGTGATATCATGTGTCTAAGGGAAAAATACATTCTCAGGTCCCAAACACTGGGTGTATCTGGGTTCTGTTGTAAAGCTACTTCTCATTTCTACAATTAGTATTCCTGACACCAGAAATATATTACAAAAATACATATAAATTTACAAGAATTTTATTCAAGATAATGATACAGAAGTATGAAAGGGGGCTTCTGTCATTGAATGCATATGACAACTAAAGATAAATGATCATTTAAAAAGATGGTCTCTGGGTAAGTAGTTCTATGGTTGCTCTAAGCCTGAGGAAACTGATCTCTCCTGCAGCTTGTCAGAACAGGAGTGAATACTGACCATTTTGGTTCATTTAAACAACATAAATGAATAAACATGTGAAGGGAATGGGCTGAGCTGAAGAAAATGCATTATTCATGCAGCTAACAACACTTACTCATGCTTAGTAGAAACTGAAACCTGAAGTGCAAATCTAGGACACTGAGAAGATTTTCAATCATGCTGAGTTATATTTAAATTCAATCTATGCCAGAAATTCTGAGTTCATTTCATGTTTTCACATCAGCACTGAAGCATTTCACGCTTTCTTTTACTGGCTACACTTCGAGAAACATAAATTATGAATGTAGCAGTTTTTCCAAATGAATGGTAATAAATGCTAGGTGGATTTAATTTGAGATGCAGTGGACATGAAATTAAGTGAAATGTATAGCACTAGTGATTAGTTTAATTCCATCTGACACCTCCTGAAGAAAAATATTTCGATCACAACAAAACTGAAAAATGAGCAAGTTTTCTGAGTGAGGAAAAAAAAAGTTGTATTTGCAATTCTATTTTCTTCAACAAAACACTCTTATAACACCATTTCTGATATGTTCTGTTAACTCAAAACTGTGAAGACAATTTTTAGAACATGATACCTGATTTTTTGCAATCCATGTTGTTCTAATCTCTCAGCAATTCTTATTTTCAAAATATGGAAATCATGCTGAACTCCTACATGGAGCCACTGAAAAAGCTAATTGGCATTTGCAAAGTGGAAAAATCTTCTTTTCTGTTTTGCAGAAAATTACAGGCATCTGTAATGACACTGTTCCCAAAGATACATGAAAACTTCATCCCCTGACTTCTCTTGGTCTTAATTACCTAAGGAGTATGTGCCGGGGGAGGGGGGGAGTATGAAGAGAACAGACATAGCTATGGTCTTAAAGAAGAGTTTAATTCAGTGAGAGAATCTGGATCCACAAATTAAGAAAAGTCATAGTAATTTCACCTCGCTAAACCTGTTTCCTTCAGGTAAGATTTCCCCAGATAAGATTTTCTTATCTGAGTGTGTAGTGGGTTGACCCTGGCTGCACACCAGGTACCCACTAAAGCCTCTTTCTCACTCTCCCTCTGCAACTGGACAGAGGAGAGAGAAAAAAAACAGCTAAGGATTCATGAGTTGAGATAGCTGGGAGAGGTCACTTACTGATTCCCTTCATGGGCAAAACAGACTCAAAGTGGGGATAGTACTTAAATTTATTACTAACAGGAGTGAGAAATAAAACAGTCTTAAAAACACCTTCCCCCCACCCCTCCTTTCTTCCATGTTCTTCCTCCTCCAGCGGTGCAGGGGGACAAGGAATGGGGGTTGCAGTCAGTTGTTATTTCTGCCACTGCTCAGAGAGAGGAGTCCTTCCCCTGCTCCTGTGGGGTCCCTCCCACAGGAGACAGTCCTTGATAGACCCAGTGTGAGTCCATCCCTCAGGCAGCAGTTCTTCCCAAACTGCTGTCCTGTGGGTCACTCCTCCATGGGGTACAGTCCCTCATGAATGAGCTGTACCAACACTGGTCCCCCACAGGGGCTGCAAGTCCTACCCGGGAAAAATCTGCTCCACTGTGGGCTTCCCTCTCCACAGGCTGCAGGTCTCCAGCAGGACCCCTCTCCATCCTGGGCCTCCCACAGGGATCACAGCCTCCTTCATGCATCCACCTGCTCCAGCATGGGCTCCTCCATGGTCTGCAGGTGGGTCTCTGCACCCCAATGGTCCTCCCTGGGCTGCAGGGGCACAGCTGCTCCACCATGGTCTGCACCACGGGCTGCAGGGGCCTCAGCTCTGGAGCCTGGAGCACCTCCTGCACCTCCTTCTGCACTGACCTCGGTGTCTACATTGTTATTCCCATGTTCTCACTCTGCTCTTCCCTGGCTGGAATTCTTTCTGCGCAACAACCTTCTGTTCTTAAATATGTTATCACAGAGGCATTACTATCACTCCTAATTGGCTCGGCCTTGGCCAGCCAAGGAAGGAAGGCAGGAAGTCCGTCCAGGAGCCGGCTGGCATTGGCTCCATGGAATAGGGGAAGCTTCTAGCAGCTTCTAACAGAAGCCACCCCTGTACTGCCCCCCCCCGCCATTACCAAAACCCAGCCACAGAAACCCTCTACATAGCACTAAGACCATTTGAAGGCCAAGCATTGCAGGGGAGCTACTACAGCCCTTAATACAGCTCCTGTTTCTATTGACACAACTACAAAATAATTTGTACTGAATGCAAGCAGTTCAGCCACCTCCTCTCCTCTCACAAACCTATGAAACACCACAAATATGCAAGTAAGAAATCTGAAACAGCAATTCTTACTCTAAATGTATCACAGTTTGCAATTAACCTCACAGGCCTTTGATTTCTGGTATTTGTGACAGGATATTGTGTGCATAGCACAACAGAGCAGAAACACCAACCTTAAATGCAGCACAAGGTACTTTAGCATAAAATTGTACCTGGACTGTTTGCTGTCACATAAACTATCACTACTTCTGTAATAAGAGAGAGAATATGAATCCACTGTGTTGTTTCTCCATGGTTTGTTTTTTCCACTGAACAAGTCAATTAAGCTTTATGTAATTGCCATTAGGAAAACGAACTTGACAATGAAAAATCCACAGACAGATCCAGAAGGACTATTATCAGACTGGAAATTCTTTTTCTTTTGAGATTTTTGCAGTCCTTAGAGAGCAAAGCAGCTGTTGCTGAGAAGTTACTTTAATTTACTTCTACACTGGCCTTCAGGGGACTGAACAAGAACTCTGAAAGAGCATAAATGAGACTAGGTCTCCTGAGGCTGGAAAGGATTCAAACCCTACTCCAGAGGACTTTGCACAGTTTATCTCCCAAGAAGAGTGTTAGGCAAAAGTTCTCAGTCAGAAAATGTGTTATAGTTTCAGAACAGTGAAGTAGGCAATAGTCAGATGTCATGGCCAGTCTTCACGAGCGAAGATTTGGGAAAGGTCATTAACCCTTCGAGCCTGCACAGTGGATTTTTTAGGTGAGACACAGCGTGCGCTGAACTGAGCCCACCCCTTAATCCTGAGGTTCATCTGCCGGGGCCGAGCGAGCTTGGATGGTGGCAGCGAGGTCCTCAGGACGTAGGTTTGTTTAGAGCGACCTTCCCTTAGATGGATGGCCTTACAGGGCTGACAAGCTCCATCTGCCCGGGGAAGTCCCCTGACCAGGAAACAAACCCAGGCCGCGGCGGTGAGAGTGCTGCATCCTAACCACTAGACCACCAGGGGGCCCCCAATAGTCAGATGTAAACACCTTATAATGGATTAGTCACTCACAAGTTTGAGCAATGCAACAGGCAACTCTGAATTTCTCTTGTGCAGACAATGCCTACACAACTGAGACCCATTTCTGAATCTATTTCAGATCTGAAAGGATGTAGTGAAAATATCATGCCACACTTTGCTTTCTAAACAACAAATTCAGCCTGGCCAAAGTCTGTTTGTAACAGCAAATAGAATACTAACTGATGCAAGGTTTAAAGCTTCACAGCTTCCTCACCTCCAAAGAGAAGTACATACTGTGGTAATATGATTACAGAACTTCCAGCAGCTAGCACAGCATTCAGACAAGCATATTATTGGCAGCAGCTGCTCAAACAAGTGCTCACCTCACTGTGCTCACCATAGACCAGCAACTGAAGGAATGAGAAATTATGTCTTTTCTGAGTCAGCCTTTTCTGAAAGCACAGTATGCTTCCATAGCAATCCAACTACTTGCTGAACAAATAAAGTTGGCAATTTGACAAACCCTTTAAAGGTTATTTAAATATATCAAGGTTATTTCATCACTGGAAAGAAAGACTTTAACAGTCTGGATATAACCAAGTTAGCACTTAAGCCACTAACCTTCCAAAGTACTAAGCATTTCACCAAGTTATCATCCAACCTAAAACGGGTGAAGATTAAAATGGTAAAATGCTAAGATAAGGCTTTTGTGAGAATTAATCTGACACAATTTAATTATGCATATACATACAAATCCATTGTACCTACAGTCCAACAAAACAGAAGAGAACAAAGTCTAAGAAAGCAGAGGCTTAGCAGCTTCTCTCAGGAAGCTTTCTCTAAGACCACTTCTCTTCCTGTTGCTTGATTGGGCACCTTTTATATCTTCCTGCCTTAGAAAACATTTTTACATGGTGGCCAGCTGTCCTAGCATGTAAAGGATTACAATCTAAAGCATCTTATGATTATATAGATAAATTACACAATGAAAATTAAATGTACCTGAATGGATGAGAACTTCCAGTAATAATATCAAAACTTATTTGATAGAGCACCACCTGCGAAAAAAAAAAAAAAAAAAGAGAGTTACAAAAATGCATCAAATTACCTGAAAGACCATGGGTCAAATTGGTAAGAAAAAAGTTGGATTGCCACAGGTTTTTAAAACAAATACCTACATGAAAATATCTATGCATTATGAATACACAGGTTATTACATGTAAGTAAATTCTGGATACAGCACATTTATTTGCTATTATATCAGCTAAGTCTAATTTACAACACTTGACTTCTAGTCTGTGCTTTACACATCCCTGCACAAGAGGGAAAATATAAAATCATTATTTGTGCTCTTTCTGGCATAAGTTTCTAACACAGACATATGGTAGGAAAACAAATACATAAAAACTCTCATATTTTCCTATGTTTCCATATTCATATTTTGCAAACATAATGAATGTATAGTTATATAATTTCTTAATCTTGATTTCCAATTCCACCCATATAAGTATACTGACATACTCCAGTATTATTTGAAATCCTGATCTCAGTTTTAATGCAGCTTTCTTACTAAACTAATTTTAGGGCAGAAAAAGCTGTTTATCAGTTATTTCTCACAACAGTGATGGGATTTTAAAATACCATTATCCTTTGAGACCGTCATAAAGTGCCACCACAGTTCCAAGGAAGTCATCACAGCTGTTCATTAGTATCATCTGAAGATCCGGACCTTACATTAGTTTTGAAAATCCAGTATATCTAAACTTATGCCTCTTCATTGTTCATGGCCTTTCCATGTCCCAGTTGCTACAATTCTACTGGACCAGCACAACAAGGTTTCATGCAAAACATTCGTATATGCTATTCCTCCATCAGCTCACCACTTTACACATGCAAGAATAATGACTACAACAGAAAACCAGCAATGGTTCCCTTGACAGTTTTGGTGGCTAGCAAGCTCCATAGCTAGATCTGTCAGATCATTTGGAAACCTCAAACCAGTCGTAAGGGTATTTTTGATGCAAAAATGAAACCTCAAACTACAATGGGTTAAAAAATCTGAAAGTAAGGGGAAAAAATTTTAGAAATCTCTCCCTCTTTCCTCTTTTTCCTAGTCTCCTAAATAGGTAATTTGATTAGTTCAGTCAAAATTTTAAACTGAAAATTTCATTAGACCTTCTGAATCTCCACCATTTTTCACTCTAGTTAAAATGAAGACACTTTTCGAAAAGCTCTATTGTAAAGAAACCGAAAATTAAGTAGAGAAAACAACTCAGCAAAAACCAGCCTCTTTCAGAAAAATCCTTTGGTTCTTATGAATTACTATTATCTGATGATGAGGCATTTGGTATAGAATTCTATTTGACAGGAAAATGCTATAACATGGTTTTGCCATGGCGGAGGAAAATCTGGAATACTGAGAATGCAAACAAAAAATCTTCTAAGATGCATTGCAAGATACTGTAGGAATCAGTTTCTTTCTAATTGCCAGGTGATGATATCCTAGATGTTGGGTTTTTTTTAAACTATAGGCACATAAGAATCACTTAGACATTTACATCTAAAATTCTCTTTTTACCTAGAAAAAACTAGCTGCCAGTATTGTATGCTGGCTAGATATGCTGAGTGCGTCCAACATTACCAATATTCTTCTGCTTCAGCAAATTACTTTATTAAATTTTCCTGGCAAGAGTTTACTCTGTATGAAAAATGGACGTATTTGATGCACTTCCAAATTGTTAAGTGACGAGTTCTTTACAATTCTTTAAAAGATTTCAAAGGACAAAGATACAGGGGGGAAAAAGCTAGCAGATTTTTCACTAGGATGTCTTTGTTGAATAAAACACATTACCACAGGTTATTTCAGAGCCTGAACACATCATTGTTTTCTCAAATGAAGCCATAGGGTTGGCCTTTGTGGCCTGGAGGAAAGGCAACTTACAACACTTAATGAATCCTCAGCACACTGGCATTTTTTCACTAAATATTGTGCAAGTATTTCCAAAGTCAAATCCCATTGGCTATATTTCACTCAGAGTCTTTTCGGGGGTTCTTGTTGCTCTTTCAGAGCAATAAAAAGATCAGCAGAGGTACACTGATGAAATAATGTAAAAATGCCCACAAGAAATGCCTGTAACTTCACTAGACTGAGATATGTTATTTTCTCATACTATTGGCAAAGGTAAATTATAACTTGAAATACTAGTTTCAAGTTTTGAGATTTACATTTCATTCAATCAGAATTTGAATGCATGTAAACACAAATCTCCTAACTTCTCTGTAATAGGGAAACTGCACCATAGCAGTTTTAACAATCTTTGTCAATGTAATTATCCAAGCTGAAACCGAAAGACCAACCTTGAAAACTGTGTGCAGGCTAATCAGTCAGAACAGAAGGTTTTAGCAGCATAATTTCCAATTAATCACATAATCATAGAATCCTTTAGGTTGGAAAAGACCTCTAAGATCAACAAGTCCCACCATAATCATGTTTTCTCCTGCACATTACATGGACATGCAAAGTAACTACAGCCTAATAGTTCAGGATTCTGACTTCTCAAAGAACGTGTTTTACCATGGTTTCTCCTGTATGAACAGTAGGAGGAAAAGCAGAGAGGAAAGCAATGTTTGGTATATCTATTATTTATGATTGGGGGGAAAAAAACATAACCAACAAAGACAAATTTACATATGCATGACGATGATTGAGTGAAGAGTAGATTGACTATAAAGATGTACAAACTACAGAGATATACAAACTGCATCACACATACAGAAAATAATTTCAGGAACTCAAAGTGACAGCTTCCTTTTCTGGATTTTTGAAAACAAGTTCTAGTAACTAGTCTGACATCTAATCAGTTACAAAGTTCCCCTACAAATAAAACTGATTTAGCACTTCAAATTTCCACAGGAAACAAAGGCATTTCAAAATATGACCTCATTTCAATTCATAATAAATCTGAGTACTCTCAATATTTCCTTTGAAATAAAATTAAAAATGCTGTGATAAAAGTGATTTTAAGCTTATAATTATCTTTTTCTACTACAGGTACATACAGGTACATATTATATATGTTATTAGATGCTGTCAATGCATAGTATTGTTTATATTATCAAGTTGTCATATTACATCATGACATACCAAATAGTCCAGTGTTCTGTTTTGATACTATTTTTATATTCTTTTCATTTAAAAGCAAAAGCAATTGCTACATTGTTTATAATGAAAGCACTTATTTTTGAAAGTAGGGCTGTCTAGCATTTTAAGAACTGTGGCTTGGTATGAGTTTTGAGGCTCCCAGAAATCAAATTCACCATTTCCTGGAGATGGACAGACTCAGCAGTAGTTTGCAGAACTAGATGCTCAGCATAACTGTATGAAAACTTTACAGACCTGAGACAAATTCATCCTTCAGCTCATACAGTTCGCAGGCCAGAAGTTCAGTAACTGCTATAAATTAGTCTTTTATTCATGCTGCAATGAGTGTGCTACTTTGATGCAAAATGTATTGTTTCCCTTTCAGTGCCTAATAGCATTATGAAGAAAACAAGCTTTTGATCTTTCTGAATATTCCCTAGACACATTTGCTTTGAATATCCTAGTCTTCATAAAAATATCTGTTACTTTTTCTCTGTATCATTGCATCTATTGTAATTTATTTTTAGTAAATTGTAACTCTGACTTATAATCTCTCTAGAGTTGGGTTAATTTCTCCTGCTAGTTTACTTTTAAACAAGCACACTATTCAAAACCTGATACAAAGAGTTTGATTCTGCTAGTACCGTTGAAATGAGAGACGCTCTGTTCTGGAATGACACAAATTTGAACAGTAGCTAACTAGAAGGCTGTAGTCCCTGCTGGAAAATAGGGCAAGGTTTGCAAAAGGCAGTGGCAATTCTAACATTAACAGAGAGGAGTGGGTCTTGTAGAGAACAGTATAGGCAGGTTATTTTAAACATCATTAAAATAATGGGGGCTGTTCTGGATATTGTTTCAATGAGAGAGAGGCAGAAAAACAAGAACCAACTCTAGAAAGGTAACATCAAAATGCAGTTATAAAAGCATTCAGGCCTTAATTCCATGCTAAGAGCAATCCTGCCTTGTTTCTGCTGCCCCCAGCTGCTCATTCCTATCTGCATCTTTGTTATATACCCAGCATGGCTTCAAAAACACAACTTGACATGGTGGGTAATTGCACAGAAGTGCAAGAAGCTTTGAAAGGGCTTTCCCACCAAACAGTGATCCTGTAAAACTGTGATCTCATAGGATTACCATAAGCAATAACTTTTTTTTAGTGTAAGTGTTGACTGGAATTCTTGAAATTTTAAAAAATACATGTATCTTCCTGTGATTAAGGAAAGAATTGTGTTTTGGTTCTCTGGGGTACTTTTAATTATTTGTCAATAAATGTGGGGAATACCCTTAAGATGCGGAATTTCATCTTTTTTCTGACAGAGACAACCTGTATGGACCAGAATTTTATTTCAAAATAAGGTAGCAGCTGATACTGCTTCGTGCGTAAGCTTTTTATTTTCTTGCTTTTGCACATCTGCATATATCATATGGGAACTTTATTTGCCTCACAGCACAGTGTGTTTTATGAATTGGAATCTCTACCTAAATGCACCATAACAGTGCTCTAAGAGATATCCTTCAACATTTCATTGGTGCAAAAGCAGTTCTGCATCATCTTTAATGAACAGCTTTGTTGATTACAATTTTCAGCATATTATGTAAAACAACTTCACACAGAACATAATCAGTAAAGCTATAAATTAAAATAAATACAAAATCTTTTTTTATATATAATTTCAAAGAGAATATGAGGAGCAGCTCTGTTTTTTCTAGGTATGTCCATATTATATATATATATATGCTGCTGATCTGGTTCAGTTCTATGTAACCATGCCAAAAAGAGAAGCATAGCAAAGACATTTGAACTGAAGGAATATTTGCAATACCAGAACTGGAAAAATTACATGACTCTGTTCCAAGTGCAACACAGCCATTATTCCCAGACACAGCATATTCATTCACTATGAATGAATATTCATT